TCTCGATGAGTTTCTCCATTTCCCGTCTCGATAAACACGTGCAGGAATCGATTGATGGATCACAGACCTATATTTTGATATGCGTCACTTCAATTACGCGTGGCTTATTTAAGAGAACTCCTCCACATGATAAAAATGTCGAAAAGGAAATGGACAAACGCCGCCCTTGTTTTTAGCATGTTAACAAGTTTGACAAATTTGTCGGTTAAAAGAGACGAAGTGAAACCGGACCCTGGTCAATATAAGTACACGCAAAAACAAAGATCGAGAGAGATAGAGAGAATGGTGAACACAATCAAGCTCTACAAGCCCTTGTTGCGAGCGGCAATGAAGCTCGCCGGAGTGACACCTCAAAAGATCGAGATCGAACCCGGAACCATCATGAATTTCTGGGCTCCAACCCGACCCCGAAACAACAACAAGAATGCCGTCGTCTTCCTTCACGGCTTCGTGGGCGACGGCATGCTGACATGGCAGTTCCAGGCCCTCGCACTGGCGAGGAAGTACGACGTCTACGTGCCGGACCTCCTCTTCTTCGGCGGCTCCACAACAAGCAATAGCCGCCGTACGGTGGACTTCCACACCGAGTGCTTGGCGAAGGGGCTGGCAGCACTTGGGTTGCGGCGGTGCACAGTGGTGGGGTTCAGCTACGGCGGAACGATGGCATTCAAGTTGGCCGAGTCGTGGCCTGAGCTGGTGGAGTCGGTGGTGGCGACATGTTCAGTACCAGCGCTGACGGAGTCGATGAGCAAGGAGTGCTTGGGGAAAATGGGGTTTCCGACATGGTCGGAGTTTTTGTTGCCTAATTCAGCAAATTGTGTGAAGAAGATGTTTGAAGTTGGGAGCTACGAGTTGCCTAGAATCCCTATTCGTGTTTTCAAGGACGGTTTAGAGGTATGAGCTCTATAAACTCTTCTAAGTAACTCATGCACACGAACGAGAAATTCTACTGAATGATGCCTAGAATCCCAAGTTCAGAGGAGTTTGTTGTGTAAATTTTTTCAAGTTTTAGTATCTCACCACTTCAACATGTAAAAATTGATGTAATTTGTTTATAAAAGACCTTGTATGGACTCGTTTCCTCGATATATTTTGAGTGATTGCAATCCAGGAAACGAGAAATTCTACTGAAGAATGCGAACATAATTAGTGATGTCTTTCTAGAGCGTTCAGACATATATAAATCTAATAGGCGAATTTGGACAAAAGTTAGTGTAGAGCATGAGATAACGGCCATGATTATTGATCCAAGAAGAGTTACGAGGTCCATACTATTAATCTGGAAAGCTATTGTGTAGTCGTTCCAAGCTTCAAAATCCATCATAAAAATATGTTTCAGGAGCATTTTACTATTTCCATTTTTATTTTTTGCATTATAGCTTTTGACATATTTAGAAAATATGAAAAGAAATTTTTCTCTACAATTAAGACTGTGGGTATGTGCGCCTGAGTGCGTTATCGGTCGCTTTGTTTCGCCACTAGACTTTGATTAGTATGTGAGATATCAAAATTCTATGGAGGGAGTACCGTTTGCTTGTATAACTATTTGAAGGGAAAGTTTTCAAGTAAATCCAAAAGTTGTACTCTATAGATCACTGTAGTTGCACGATTTTATGTTATTGACCGCTAAAACTCTAGATAGGCTTGGCACCGTGAACGATAGAGGGTCCCTCTGACCATCCAATAAGAAATAGACAAGTATATCCATGTTGGACAACGACCCAAAGTCACCTTACTATGGTTATCCTTCTCTCTTCTTACCCAATCCTAATCGATCTCCAGTCACAGAATTGCCATCGTCCCACAGTCACATTGCACTCGTCACATTTGACAGCATCCTCTCCCTCAACTCTTTTTCCATCTTTAAAATTTGAAAAAATGATATAAATAATTTATAAATTTTAACTCAATATGTAATATGATTTTTGAACTTTTGATACATGTTCACTTTCCGCTAAAACTCTAGCCAGGCTTTTGATACATGTTCATATTACACATTGAATTAAAGTTCAGTGATCACATTAAGCAAACTAAAAATTGAGGAATCACATTACATATTTAATCAAAATTTAAAAATTATTTGTATAGTTATCCCTCAAAATTTCTTCAAGTTACTTATTTTTTAAATCTTGCAGCTCTTTTCAAATTATACAAATATCGATATATAGAAAATCTGACATAGAAGAAATAGGTACACGGAAAAGACACATAAAAGGAAATCTCTTGATTTTCTGTATATTTTCCAGGAGGCAAAAACTGAGTGGTCTGACAAACTGTAACTAATAAATAGGGTCCGAAAGGTACTACTGCATGTTGAAGTGACATAAAAGAAATAACACGAAAATAACAAAATCTTAGAAATTACTGCACATTGAAGTGACGAAAATGACTACTCATTAAAGAAAGGAAAAAATGATACGAGCGTTCTAATTCGCTTTGCGCTAATTATTGTGGTGGGGCTGCTTGTTGGATTTCTGCTGGTCCCGAACGCTCTAGAAAGTTTTCAGCAGCCGTGTCCATGCCAATCCTCTCCACAGCGCCCATGCTCCCTGATTCTTGCCAGCGAGATGATTGTTGCCCCTGTCGTTGTTGCTAGACATCTTGTTTCCAAAATCTTCCTGGTTTGTAACACCAACTGACACGGGAACATGTAGATAATAGTAAACTCGCAAACTAAATGTCTAACCGAACGCAATAAATATATATAGTGCCTCACCCTAGGAATTACTACGCATTGAAGTAACATAAAAGAAATAACCCAAAAATAACCCTAGGAATCACTACTCATTGAAGTAACAAAAGTTACTACTCAATAAGCAACAGAAAAAACAATCTTGCCCGATAGATTTCTGCTAATCCGTACGCTCCAAAAAGTTTTCAGGGACTGCATCCATGTCGGATTCAATTATAATTTTTTTTTATGTTTTCCTAAAGTTTAAGTAATACTATTTTTAAAAGTCAAGAAAAGTATCTGTGTTCTCAAATGCCCAAAATAAAAAGGCTTTAGGTCTAAACTCTAAACAAGAACTATTTATGTTTTGATAACTTCAATTTTCTATTGAAGATAACTGTCGAAGTGGGACGGCTACGTATATTCAAACAAATCATGATGAACGTGAGATTTTATATTATTTTTTGAGAAGTATGAATTTTTTTTATTATTGGATTGTAGGTCATGTTTGACCACAGAAAGGAGAGAGCTGAACTGCTGGAGGCAATGGTCATTCCAGATAAGGACTTCACTTTGCCAGAATACTCCCAGGTTTAATCTTAATCTGAAGAAGCTTCCTCTTTCTTTACTTAAAGCAAAAAAAGGGTATTCGTATGTATACATCTTTCCTTGTACAGATGAAAAACAATGATGTTGTGAGATGGCTCACGTGTATTCGTATGTAGACATCTTTCCTTGTACAGATGAAATTTGTATACATGCGTGATGTACTGTGAAGACAGCTATAGTTTGCAATAAAAACGAAAATTAAAGGACCCAAAAACAAAAAATATTCACCAGAATATTGAAAGTTCATTCCTATTCCATGTCGCATGAGGATTATAATAGTGAGACCCAGCATTTAATCATGTGACATGGTGGACAAATCATAAACCAGAAAAGTGTGGAACCATCAAATTTTGTTACGTAAAATAATTAAAAAAGAGAATTGAGAGCCTTTGTTTCTTGATGTATATACTACTAATTGATTTCGTATAATATAGAATATCTCTTTGTATAATTACCGAAATGCGCAGAATACGCATGTCACTCTAAGCTTCCCTTATATGATCCAAACTGACTAAATGTGACATGTAAAATCAACCTTAATGTTCTTTTTCAATTCTTGATTAATCTTTATTTTGTCGTCCCCTTTGATACTATACTATGCTATACCTATTTGATAAATATGCTGATGACAATTGACTGGCGTCTGTGCAGAGGGTCCATCTGGTCTGGGGCGAGGACGATAAGATCCTCAGTGTGGGACTAGCCAAGGAATTAAAAGAGTACGTCTATCTTTTTTTTTATTTTATATTTTCTTCTCATCAGGTAGATTATTAATCATTTTACACTTGGTAAAATTTTTATTGTGTTTTATTTCAGTAATTGCTTGCTCTTTTGAACCTAATTATGGACAATACCCGAAGAGTATTCCTAAAATATTTTTTCCTTAGCTATAAGGATTTAAATATATGTGAAACCGTAAATAATCTTTCTTTACACAAGCAGTTTTGAATAAACATACTAATATAATTAAGGGTTAATACCATGAACAACTCAAACTACTCCAAACTGGTATACCTATGATAAATTTATCATAAATTAATTTTTTTATCATAAAAAACCCCAAACTGGTACACATATAACAAATTTACTCCAAACTAATTTTTTGACCACCAAAAACCCCAAACTGGTAATTCTGAGAAATTTACCCTCCGCTAGTGGATCAATTTAGGGTTTTTTGTGATATTTACCCTATGAATTTTCACGTGGACTTGCCACGTCACCATATCACATCACCATGTGTCATCCATGTCAGCAAATTTAACGGTAAAATTTGACGGAAGCTAACGCAGGTTAAATTTGTCACAAGTGTACCAGTTTGGGATTTTTTATGGTAAAAATATTAGTTTGGGGTAAATTTATCATAGGTGAACCAATTTGGAGTTTTTTATGTCAAAAAATTAGTTTGGAGTAAATTTGTCATAGATGTACTAGTTTGGGATTTTCGTTGGGGTAAATTTATCACAAATGTATCAGTTTGGAGTAAATTTGTCATAAATGTACCAGTTTGGGGTTTTCGTTGGGGTAAATTTATCACAAATATATCAGTTTGGAGTTTTTCGTTGTATTAACCCTATAATTAACTTGGTTACTAATGTTGAATCAAATTATGGATGTGAAACTATCTTAAACTTGGGTTGTGAGGCTGACTTTTTTGCACGTACCTGTGCAAAACAAGCCTCTAAATAGTGCTCTTGCGTTTCATCTTTAAAGTTTTTTTAAAAATTTGTTAATTACTAAAATCTAAAATTAATAAATGCATATCCTAATTCTATGAGTATAATAATGGATTCTATGATGTTGTGTATGTATATATGATTATATATGTATATATATGTATAGGCATTTTAAAAATATTTCTTTCTACGTAATACCTAAATTTAGCGCATTTAATGTCCCACAAAAAGTCTGATTCCCTTCAACTTTCACTTTCTTAGCAGAACATTTAATCTTTGTTTGAAAAATAAAATATTTATTCAATAAATTTTAGTGCATTTAATGTCCAAAAGTCTATTTTCCTTTGATTTTCACTTTCTTGACAAAACTCTTAAATTTCTATTTGAAAAAGAAAATACTCATTTCTTTGAATTTGGTGCATTTAATATCCAGAAGAATACTTTACATAATATATTTATATACAATATGGTTAAATTTAATTCGCGATATTCATCCAACAATGCTTTGTGTGATTGTAAGATTTCTTGCTAAAAAACGTCATAGACCTAAAGGAATTATTTTTATTTTCCCTTCCGGTAATATTTCTGATGTTACAGATGGTACTCTTAGTTGACACATTTTCGCTCCACTTGATTCCTTTTCCAGAAAACAATCGAAATTCAAGCTTGAATTTGATTTATTCAATTACTTTTTTTTTTGGGCAGAAAATTGGGAAATAAAGCAACATTGGAGTGCATTGAGAAAGCAGGCCATATTGCTTTGTTGGAGCGACCCTTCGTCTACAACAGATGTTTGAAGAGAATTCTTGCCTCCATCTACGATGAGAAGTCACCCCGAGTTTAGCTACAAGTGAACCATGATTATATGCAAAATCAATTATTTGTTGGGAGTACCAAAGGCTATAATAAAGTACTTGGAATATACACATTAGCTATAGTAGATCGTAGATAAGATGAATAGTTTGAAAATTTGGTTAACCAAAAAAATGATGTATCTATCTTTAAAATTGCGAATTATTGTTCAAGTGGATTATAACAAGTTTTTGACTCCCAATTTAAGAATGTATGAAACGCATGACGCACGCACGAGCGGTGGATAATTAGGGTAAAATGATTTGTCCAGCCTGTTAGAAAACAAACGCGGAAAAACAAATACAGAACACAAGGATTTACGTGGTTCGATCACAAGGTGATCTACGTCCACGGGCGAGGCAAAACAAGATTCCACTATAATCAAAGGAGAGTACAGTTTTCAGAAGTCGAAAAAACGACTTACCAAAACCTCACGGCTCACAAAACTCTCCAAAAACGAAAATCTCTCTTTTAATCAATGGAAAAACCTAACCGCAGTATAAATATGGCTCTCCAAAAATTTCCTCGGGGGCTTAGCCCCCGAACCCCCTGAAACATTTATTCGCTTGCTCCAGCTTAGGCGGACCGCCATAGAAATTTGTTCACTTGCTCTGGGTTGGGCCAAGCGAACTAAATCTCAATTTTTTTCTCCACTTTTGGGTCGCACAAAAAATATGTCGGGTCGGGTGATGAACCGGACCAAGTACATAAAATTCAAGACATATTTAACACAACCTAATAGGCCCATCTTTTCTGGACTTTGAAATTTACTTACACGGCTATTGGAAATACTTCTCGAAACACAGCGAAAATTTTAAAGTATTTCCAAAGTACGACATCCCCATCCATCCACTCAATCGCTCTCTATTAGGTGAAGCGAATTTGGTTCTCCATTTTTCCAATTGATAAAACCAAGCACAAGATAATTTGTTTGGATAGACAAAAACGTCTTTTTAGGAATAGTTAATTCGCTTTTACCATTCAATGGATCAATACCTGGCTAGTATTGCATAATTTTGTGAAATTGCTCAATGCGTAGATTGTGTATTACAGGGGTAACGAGATCTACATTTCAAATCGATGATTTTGTAAAAACCGAAAGTAGGGACACATATAAATCAACGACATACGTGTATAAAAAATCAAAGTTGAGATCTCTCTTTTTTTTTTGGTCGAAGAAAAACTTGCTTCATTCATCCATTTAAGTGATACCACTGTCACATGAGAAAGGTGCCTCAGAACATATTAATCCCATAGGATCTTCGGGGGATTAGAGATCCAATAACTAGAGACCTCGGTTATCTATGGGACTTAGAGACCCAATCCGCTACTAGATTTGCTTCCCTTGGACAGTGGGCCTTTGAAGTGGCCCATCAGAGCTTTGCACGCAGAAATCAGTTGAGATCTCTCTTTGATGGATGAGAATTATTTATACTGTTTGTGTCTCAATTTACCTATCCCATTCACGGGATGTTGACCCATGTCTCTATTATTTGAACTTCCAGGCATCCCAAACCTTAACTATTACCCACCTCTCTCTCTCTCTCTCTCTCTCTCTCTCTCTCCACGACACACAAAGCGCTGACCAGATCTTGACGAGGTCCCGGTTCCGCTGTCAAAGACCCCACTAAGAGCTGGCCATCACCGTCATGATCTCAACTGCAAGACGAGATCTATAACTTCTGGCGAGGTAGAGCTTGGCACTCGACATCGAGCTTTGTCACATGTGATGAGCTTAACACTGACAATGAGATTTGTCGAATATGTTTTGGAAGTGTTTTTAGGTGTGATTAATCACTTATTACATGTGTTTGATCAATTCGTGGAGGAACATGCTCAAGTCTACCCATATATTAGGATGCTCTAGTTGAAAAGTCCTCCGGTGATTGGGATAGGAGATAGAGACAACCGAAAGTCGAATATGCGATTTTACATATTATGTAAATTTGAGTGTGCCAAGTTTAGGGTGCTAAGTAAATAGTCAGTGGGCAATTGCCCCTTCTAAGAGGTTGAAGTTACAAGAGCATGATGATCTCAACAAATACCATGTGAATCAAAATGTGGCATGCTGTAGAAGTCGGAATGGTGAAACTCATCCAGATTTCTAGTATTGGAGCTGAGTACTCTAGTATCGAAGAGGGTACTGGCCAGCCGATAGTTAAGAATGACATTATTGGGGTGGCGCAACTCACAGAAGTGATGTAAAAGCTCACGGACACGGCGTACACCATAGCCACAAATAGAGAGAACAAACAGATAGGTGGATCATAAGGAATTCTTATTATCAATGTATTGCACTTCGTTTCTATTTTTGCATTAGACGACAAGGAGCCCACTTTGATATCAAGAGGTGGTGTCAACATTGGAGGTGCAACTGTGCAACGCTGCTATGGCAGAGAGAGAATCGATTCAGCAATAATCAGAGATGGGAATTGGTTGACCAATGAAGGCCAAAACATAATGGGCTGCAAGTGGTTCCTCAAGAAACAAGTAGGGCAGTCCTCGTTCAGGAGCAACCAGGTCTAGCCAAAACACGATGGGTAGCCATGTCATTCACACGGCAAGAATGTACCTTTTGGTCAAACCTAACTCGCGGCACTTTTTGGGGGTAGCTACATCAGAAAACATAAGGTTGGAGAAGCTAGAAGAGCAGATATACGGGCAACAACCAAAGAGTTTGTTGTCCTATGGTATGGCCTAAAAATGCATCTTAAATTGTGGAACTAGTGGTTTGACTCCTTTGTAACCTGTCAGCAATATATTAAGAGTGAAAATGATAGTTGTGTTTACTATAAGAGGTTAAATGATGATGGCCGCTAATATTTGTTATTGTATGTTGATGATTTATTAAACGCTACAAAGAATTTGTCTGATATTAATAATTTGAAATGACATATGAACGGTGAGTTTGAGATAAAGGATTTGTGTGCAGAGAAAAATATACTTGGGATGGAAATCTAGAGGGATGAATTTATAGGGATGCTTCATTTATCAAGTACCGGTTGAAAGTGTTGAAGCAATTATCACCCCAAATCAAATAGTGGTTATCAATTAACTATAGATCATATGTAGACAAAAAGTTACATTAACTAATTTGTTGTATGGATTAATACCACGAAAAATCTCAAACTGGTACACAATTGACAAATTTACCTAAAATTAATTTTTTGACTACCAAAAATCTCAAACTGGTACACCAGAGATAAATTTAGCCTTCATTAGTTTTCGTTAAATTTTACCGTCAAATTGCTGAGTTGGACGACACGTGAGCAATTGATGGGTATACTAGTTTGGGGTTTTATCCATTTGTTTGTCCAAGATTTATCAATTTTGGGTTTTTCATGGTATTAATCCAATTTAAAAAAGGTAAATTTGTCACAAGTATACTAGTTTGAAATTTTTTGTCGTCAAAAAATTAGTTTGGGGTAAATTTATCACATATGTACCAGTTTGGGGTTTTTCGTGATATTGACCCTTGTTGTATAAATCGAGTTAGTGGTCATAAATATAGTAAAATTGCCTTTAATTGATATATTTTGCTCTTTCTAGATAGGTATGTATCTTTCGACCAAAACAAAAAAAAGATAGGTATGTATCTACACAGATTTATATTACTTTTAATAATTTTAATATTCTCGATTTGTCTAATTTTATCATTTTACTGCTTATATATAAGTAGTTGATGACAATTCTATATGAGTTTTCACAATTATTCTTTCAAATATCGATGCCTATTTTACCAGATTAGTTACTTTACTAAAAAATGGATTTCAATAAGATGGCAGCTTAATTTATGACGGTGTTTATATTTTGTAATTCAAAATGATCTTTGAGTTTTAGATTACCAAAATACGTTTACAGAATGTAAAAAGTAATTTTCCTTAATAAGTAAATTCAAAATAATTGGAAAAATTGAATTGATTGATGCTGTTGTCGTATACAAATTTTCAGCCATAAGAAATCATGAATTTCCTTGAAATGATAATCTTTGATAGACGCCATTTTTATTATATTATTGGATGATGGTATAGCAATTATATACAATAAATCACGTTAAAAACTATTATAGACAGTTTTACTCGGGAAAATTACCAATTTAGTCCTAAACCTATTGTACGGATGCCAATTCAAATCTAAACTTTTAAATTTTCCTAATGTAATCCTAAGCTTTTTTTTTTTAATTCAAATGTAGTACTTTCGGTCAATTTTTAGTGGAAAATACGTGGCAGTCCTGATACGTGCGTGGGCGAGTTATTTCGGAAATGGGGTTTTCTGGGTTATGTGTTTGGATGGGTGTATATTTACGGGATAGTTAATGAAGGGTAAGATGGAAATGAAGGATAGGTTATGATCACCACCAAGGTATAAAGGACACGCCACCAACTGAGGATGAAAATCAGGACCGACGAAGTTCACCACCGAGACTTAAAGGACAAGCCATCCGCCAAGGTTAAAGGACTTCAGGATATGAGAAGCTCACCTCCATGACCTAAAGGAAAACCACCAGACGATGATAAAGTGCTTCTTGGCTCACCACCGAAGAGTAATCCAATCTCCAAGGATAAAGAAACTGATATAGGAGTTATCCACTCTCTAAAGAAATTCGCTCACACTGAGGAAAATCTCATATATTTTCATTCAAAGTCTTCTGCATTACAATGGAGAACAATCATCGATTTAAAGAGAGACTAAGACTTAGGAAATAGACAAACATTGGGATAAGAACAATAGAAGTGTTACAACTTTCGTACGACGTTCACTTGAGTGCTATAACTTTTTTTTCGCTCATTTAAGTGCCACATCGGAGTAAAATCGATCATTTGAGTGCCATTTTCGGCAAACCTTCCTACGTGGATTTTTTTATTAATTTCTCGTATCGACGTGGATTTTTTTTATTTTTGAATTTTTTTATTAATTGTCAACGTCAGCGCCGGCAATGCCATGTCGAATTTTCTGACAAGGCAAATTGCCGATGGCATATAAGTGATCGACAAAATGAGCCATTTTTGAAAACTAATCAACGACTGCCATGATGGCGTCTTTTCCCCTTTGAGATCTCGGAAGAGCGACAATAAAGTCCACACTCACATCTTCCCTTGGCTGTAATGGAACCGGAAGTGGAGTGTATTGTCTCTGATGGAAATGACTTTTGGCTCTTTGACAAGTTGCACACCTCAAGATGATAGCATGCACATCTCCATTTATCTTTGGCCAATAAAAATGCTCTTGAAGAACCTCAAGAGTTTTGTTAACACCAAAGTGTCAAGCCAATCTTCTACCATGTGCCTCACGGATAAATAATTCTCTAAAATAACTCTTTGGCACATATAATCGATTTCCTTTAGAAAGAAACCCATCTTAGATATAATAAGTGCCTTGAACTTTGTGCTTATAGTTGTCAATGATGGAAGAGAAATCTGGGTCCTCAAAATATAGATCCTTCATCGATTGAAAACTAAGGATCTTAGAATCCAAAACAACAAAAATAAAATATCTCCTCGATAAAGCATCCGCTACAACATTAGTGTGGTCCATTTTATATTTTGAGACTAAAGAAAAGGATTGAAGAACTTCTATCCATTTGGCATGTCTCGAATTCAGTTTGCGTTGGGCACTAATAAACTTGAGAGCCTCATGATCAGAATGAAGAACAAACATTCCGGCCTCAAGTAATGGCTCTAGTGATCAAGAGTTCTAACAATAGCATAGAACTCCTTATCATAAGTTGAATAATTCTTCTTAAAATCAGTCAACTTCTCACTAAAATACGCCAAAAGCTTTTGTTCTTGGATAAGAACAGCCCCAACGCCAACTCCGCTTGCATCACACTTAACTTCAAATACTTTATCGAAATTAGGAAGGGCAAGAATAGGGGACTCACAAAGTTTATGTTTGATTTCTTCAAAAGCGTTGTGAGTAGCCTTTGTCCATTCAAAAGAAC